TTTATGTACAAAATTTTGTTGAAACTTGTCATTTGACTGGTAATACAAACACATTAACCAGTAATGGATGATGTAAGTTATAATGAAGAAAAACAGGTTTTTCAAAAGGTTTTTAGTAAATTTCTTTCACTAGTTTATTGCTCTCAATTGTAATTTGAATGTCTATGAATGACAAAATCTTAAGGTTATTAGAGTGAATGTGACTGCAGGATGCCAATTATTTTAAGTACCAAAGACCAGAACCACACATTAAGTTTAACTTGCATTTCTCTGTCTCACTGAGTTAGTACTTATCTTTCTGACATCTATATGACAAAAAAAGGAGCTGGTATTTTTAGGTAAAGCCAATTTCCTAACAAGTATCAGACAGCTAAACATAATAGATTTCATCAAGAAATAAGGGGGTTTCTATGTTGATAACCTAACTGAATTTTAAGTTGTATGTAAAATTAACACATTGGATACATCTAAATGACAGCAAAACAAACATTATTAAGACACAACATATAAAAACAGTGTGACCTTTGTAGGCAATTGGACACTGACTCTACTAGATTAGTGAATATCTCACCAGCTTTTCATTTCTAAAGATGAATTTTTGTTGAACTAATCATGATTACAGCCAAGCAGAACTGAACAAAGAAATTGCATCAGGATTTCAAACATCATCTGGCTTTGTATGTCCAGTGGATGGAAACACCTCCAAGACCTCCATTTCCTGACAGCATTGATCAACTATCACTTTTTGTTGATGACATAGTTTGGCCACAAAAGAATATTCCAGTTTTGAATTTTTCGGCCCACTGAAATTTCTTTATTGGGCAGAAAATGTCACTTAACAAAAGAACAATTGGTTGAAGTGACTAGATCAAAATAATGTGAGACTCCCAGAAACACAGGTTGTTGTCATGATAGTGTGAAAATTAAAAACAAATTCAATAATTTGGAATAATTCCATATTATTGAAGATCATAGGGGAGCATGGTTGCCTACATACCACAGATGCAGCATTACAGCCAATCCACCCATTGGCAGAACAAGGATTATCTCTATAAAATGGCAATGGAATAAAGATAGCAAGAACAAAATAAACTTAATGACTTTCTGGAGTATGTGTTATATGACAATTGCGAAGAATAAGATTAAACAAAAACTTGTGAAAACTTTCTGCATTAAAATAAGAAATTAGAAAACCTATGGTATGCCTGCATACCACAAAACATATTATCATCACTTATTTGATGATTTTCATCAATGTGGGTTTGATAGAAAGCATGTACATTTATGTTGTTTATTAAGCTAGGTGAAAACTCTTGAAGTGGGTCTAAGTTAGCTTCAATAAAATAATTTGGATTGCATATATGAATGTGATGAAAACCCGTATTTTAGAAATTTTCATTTTAGTTTATGAACTGGTAATTTCATATTGAGTGCAAGGTTTCGCAAATGTTCATTTGCAAGTTATTTAATATTAAAGGATGGTAAACCACTGTAAACATGTCATTGTTAACAGATTTATAAATATTTATGTGAAAATTAATTAGAACATGTTTTTGTATTGTAATCTAATTTAACAAATATGGTTGAATATTATATTTTTTTTGGATCATTTGCTACTCATAAAATGCTTTCGCATAGTCTATAATTTAATTATGATAAAAGTTTTACTTGTCACCAAACAATCATGATATCTAAATCTGTGTACAAAACTAAATGATATTCATCTCTTTCACAAACATTTAGTATAGTTTATAATTTATAGTAATAGTTACTGTTGTTTCAACTCATACTTGCTTTGTGCCTTTTCATGATACAGAATAACACTGGAATCAATTGAATTTCACCGACAGAACAAACCTAACTTCAAGAGTTTGTTTGTTTTGAATTTTGTGCAAAGCTACACGAGGGCTATCTGCACTAGCCGTCCCTAATTTAGCAGTGCAAGACTAGAGGGAAGGCAGCTAGTCATCCCCCCCCCCCCCCAACTCTTGGGCTACTCTTTTAACAACG